TCTTCCTCCGTCCAAAAACCCCTTTCCTTTTCTTTTTTTACTTGTCTCACAAAATTACTTCTCATTTTTATTAAAAACTCATTTTTACCCCTATTAATTCTAAACATACATATTACATCATATCTTTTATTAATAATCCACACATCGACTTCTACTGTTACTCATCATATTAAGGGCATTTTTAGAAACTCAACACAAATTATCCCTCTTTTAAATTTTTTAAAAGTCAAAATGGAAACATCTTTTTAGGACACAGAGAAAGTATTATTTTGGGTCAAAAATTTGACTCCGAACTTGGGAGGTCCAATTGACAAGAATAGTGTTGGGTTCAGGTCGGACGAGTGCGGGGTTGTTTATTGTGAAGGTTGGAGGTAGAAAGCATCAATTTTGTAAATTGAAAGTTGGAGTGCTTAGTGGCACCATAATGATATCGTTGCCCAGGGTCAACGGAACCTCTCCGATTAAGTAAATTCAAATAATATGAGTAGGAGTGTGCATTATTCGGTTTGAGTCCAAAACGAGCCGAAACCTGGCACAAACCAAACCAGATCGGTCCGGACTGGTCTCTTTCCGTTCTGGTCTTCGGCCTTCTAAAATCTCTTATTTAGGTTTCGGTCCGGTTCACTGGATTTCGGTTCGGACCGGTGGACCAGTCAAATTTTATTTGTTTTAATATCTTTCTATATAATAAGGGCAAGGTTCCCATGACATTGCCCGGCAATGTGATGGGAACCTTGGTGTATATAACACAATTTTTGAAGTTTTTTCTTATAATTTTCTCATGTTACAATAAATTTTAGACTAATTCAATGTTACTCGTGTTTTTATCACAACCTTTTTTAAATAGTCAATTTTAAAAAATAGGAATTCTATTAAAGTGTTTTTTACAAATTACGGTACAATAATTTAAAACTAATTTAGTGTTACATTTTGGTTTTCTATCACAAAAATGAATTTTTTGTGGGAAGAATGAAAGAACTTTTTAAACATTTTTACACCCTTTTAAAATGACTCTTTTACTATTTTTAGTAAGATTTGGGTGTCGGGTTGTGATCCACAATAGTCTCTCAAGCATCTTTAATTCGTCGGTATTTTTTTTACGCAGAACTCCAGTCGTATCATTGTTGACTTTTAAATTTATATCTTACATGACGTGCATGTTTTAATTGTAGTGTTAATATTATGTTAAAAAAATTTAATATTTAAATAATAATGATTTACAATGTTTAGTGTGTGTTACACATTACAAATCGGTAATTGAAATACTAGTAGACACCTTAAATTAAATAGATAAAATTGATTTTAAAAAAGGCACCCTAATTTGGTTCGAACCCAGGCTGATCTGATACTGGGTCAGTACGGTCCCAGGCCGGTCCTTATTTTATACGGGGCCGGTCTCTGACTCAAGAAAAGTCTCATATTCGGTCCCAGTCTGATTCCAATCCAGTCTGAGTTCAGACCGATGCACACCCCTAAATATGAGTATACAAAAAACAACCCATCAATAATGTTAATACTGATTTTTAATTTTCTAAATTGGAGTAATTAAATGCGCTGCAAGTTTTGTCTTAACATTCTGCAAATTTATGAAAGAATCTGAAATCCATGGTTTAAATTTAATCTCCTATGCGAGATGTACGATGAAATAAAACAGTTCTTTCCTTCGTCGTCCATCAAGGTCTACAATAAAAAACGGTAATTCGTGACAAAAAAATTCTATCACGGGTCTGTACAGTTCTTGTAGTGTACAACTGAACATTGCTTTAAAAAGTTGGGTGATTTCCGAAACAGTGAGGATTTCAAAAATCCATTTCCAAATGGGGGTGATTTCCCAACAAGTGAAGATCTTAGGAATTCATTCTCAAATGTTAAAAGTGTGTAAAATAAATGTTTACGAAACAAAGTCAACCTCGTGAAACTGTCCTCAGACAATGTAGTGACTCCCCGTACCGCACCGCCTGCCCCGTATCTGTCGTTGTGGCCTACGTCGTGCCAATTTTGTTAGAATAAAGGCCCAACGCTAGAGGGGGGGTGAATAGCGTTTGAAATAAAATCACAAGAAATTAAAAACGAGTGCGTTAAAGTAAAGAGCGTAAGGAAGGAGCACACCGAGTTTTATCCTGGTTCACCACAACGTGTGGCTAATCCAGCCCCCCGAGAGACTCTCTCGAGCTACACTAACTTCGTTAAGCTTAAGAGTGCTTAACAAACCGATACAACTTGAGAACCCGAGTCACACGAGCCTCAACACTTTTGCTCGGAGATACCGCACTCCAAGACTTCTCACGAAGGAACAAGTAATTTCCTTCGAGTTTACAACAAGGGAACAACCTCCCTTAAAGTGTATGAAAACACTTAAACACTCAGGAATAAAACTCTCACAAAGAGTAGATATGAGTGAACTAGTAAATGCTCAAGAACACGACAATTTCTTCAAGAATTGGCTCTCAAATAGCTAAGAAAAATAGGAATGCTTATGCAATGAAGGAGTATTGAAATGTTGAAGAATTGTGTGTAAAATGAGAGGATTTGGGTGCCATTTTATAGCCCAAAATGGGATAAACCCGTTGCTAGAATTTCCAACAGGATGAAGACAAATTTTTCAGGGACACAGGCTGA